CCTGCTTGGTCCCTGGGCCCAGCACTCTTTACAGTCCATCTGTTTCTGGATAAGAAGAGGAGATAAAGTCACATGCCAGCAGAGAAAATTGTCTTTGGATCAGATATTATCGTTTAAATAATGTGTGCAGTGAGCTGAGACTACTGAGCCCAGTCCCTCACTGAGATTCTTACAATACCAGCACTAACTGATAATAGTTGGATTTGGTACATTTTTAAAATAGAGAGGTACAATTCCATTATAGCTGTGCACATTTATTGCTTTTTTCTTTGTATTATGCTTTGTCTTTTGTGTCCTTTCAGCCTCCCAACCATTAAGGAACCCTAGTATCAGCAAGCCTGGAGTGACGAATAGGGATGGGGAGTATAGGCAGCATTGTAACATGAAGCTCGCTTGCACAACTTCTAAGGCTGCAAAGGGTATGCGTTTTCTTCGCACGCAGGCTGTGTATTTCGTTTATCCATTTTGACACAAAAAACCTGTCTCATTATCATTCCTTCTAATGTCTTTCCTAGTGTGGATCAAAGGGAAACGCGGATTTCCATGTGTCATTCTGTACAGTGGGCATTTCCTCCTTTGCAATTGTAATGATGCATTTCCATATGGGGAATTGCTCATGGTGTTTCAGGAGAGGGAGATCTGAGGGGCGCTCCTACGTTATGTGGAGCTGACAGTCACACCAGGGCAGGGGGGAGTTAGAGTAACGCTGCCGACTTTATTAGGGTCAAGAGAAAAGGCTAATTTCCACCCCGCTGCTGGTCTGGGCGGGGAGCTGATGCAGCGGGGACAGCCGCCTTCGTCAGCCGCCGGTGGCTTTGCTCGTGCTGGGGTCGCTGCTCTCCTCTCTCAGCGTGAGGAGCCGTGGTTCATGCGCTGCCTCTGCTAGCGCGGCCCGCTCGTCCGTGCTTCCCTCGGCTTGACGTCAGCAGCGTCGGCTGCTGTTCGGAGCTGTCCACCTCGTTTCAGACTTGTCAACCGTTCCGCCGTGGCGGGTGGTACTTGCTGCGCGTTGCCTCCTCTCTTTCTTTGGGGACGGGCTTCATCTCCTGGCCACGCTTCTCTGAAAGGTTAAACGTCTTCCTCCTCAGCCAAGTGGAAGATTGTCGCTTTAATTACACCTTTCTGCCTGATGTTTGTCATCTTAACTAATGTCTGTCTCCCTGTGCTGCATTCCTCCAAAAGTCATTCCTCCCAGGATTTCCGGCAGCGCATTAACGTGCCATGAAATTTCTTTCATTCCATTTAATTTCAGGGCTGCTGTTCGGGCTTTTGCATTTGAGATCAGATCTCGGGGCCTATGTTTCGTGCCCCGTACCTGTGGGCTTGCCAGAGGCCACACACTTTCCCTTCTAACAGCTGGGCTTAAAAGTGATTTTGGGAGACCTGTTCTGGTTGCTTTTGTGCAGCAAGGAAAGTAGCCAGGAAAGCAGGTGGTAAAGAGAAGTGACCAAGTTTAATACTTGCTTTGTATCTTTGAGGCTAGAAATCCAACCTGTAAGGGTGTTACTGACAAAAGCGGGTAACATGGTGTCTCAGGAGTTGAGGCTGTTGTCGCTCTGAACCGTGTATTTTGCGCTGTGAGTCGGAGATGAGCAAACAGCACGTAATGCGGCTGGCAGAGCGGCGCCTTGTTCTGCTCTGCGTCAGCCCTGCAGTCGCGAGTGACCGCCTGGGTTTTGGAGCGCGCTCGCAGCAGTGCCGTTAGCTTTAGCGTCTGGTTTGGGGTGTTTCTTGCAGCTTCTGTACGTATGGCTTTGGGAACTGTGGTTTCACACAAGCAAGCGGAGCTGGCGCAGGGGGATACGTGAGGTGCGCGCTGGGACCTCCCAGGTACAGGTTAGACGTGCTCTGCTGCCGCCACCTTCTCCAGCCTCCTCCTGCTGCTCTCTGCCGTTGTGCTTGTCCTTGGCACGTGACAACGCCTCGGTTGCAGTGTGACGACGGAGGTGTCGGCAAGGAAGGAGCTGAGAAAGCGTTGGCTGATCGTTTGGCACTGTGTTCCCCACCTCTCTCCCCTTTTACTTTAAAAATGATAATTACTCCTGGAGTAGATCCCATTTGGCTGACGCCTCACAACTGGAAGCCCTGAAGAGCATTGTTCTGTGTAAATTCCCTTTATGCCCCGACAGGAACGATCACACGCGCCGCAAGCTGCAGAGGGGAAGAATATTTTCTCTGATAGTGAATCCATGCTGCGTCACTTGTAGATAAACATGATGTTACCTGAACGTTTTTCTCCTTGTTGTTTGAGGGCAAAGCGTGCCCTCAAACCCGCATGACCAGTCGCCTGCTGTGTCTCTTGAGATCTGGCGGTTTTATGCTATATTTGTCTCACGCTAATGAATGAGACGATAATGGGCCGTGCCTCATTTCGGCTTGTCATGGCTTTTGCTAGCAGCCTTGTTTTGAGAAAGCCCTGGTTTCAGCTCTGGTAGAAGTGGAGGAGAAGGTGTTAACGCAGCCCTGCTTATTTTAGCAAATGAGTGAATCATTGGTTTTAGGAAAACGGTTCAACGCATTAACCCGTTGTTTCCAGAGCAACACAAGAAAAAAATCCCAGTAGAGTGAACAGATGGCTCTGGCATATTTTTAGGGTTGCTCTCTGTTCCCATGGTGCTGCAGACTACGTGGGATTCCCCGTAGACTGTTACAAGATTGGTGAGCCTAGCCAAGTGTCTTGTTTTGCAACACCGCATCAGAGAGGAGGAGGAGGACGGACTCCTGTTCAGGTTTGTTTAAGTAACTTTGAACGAGAGGTTCTCACGTAGGGGATGATGGATGGTGGAGGAGTCTCTAGAGAGGTGTTGGTCATGTGATTCTGGTGTCTGCTCACTGCCAGCTGCTACGTTGTATTAGAAGGGACAAAATAAATGAGAAATACTGTCCTAGTGGTGTTGTCCATATAAACAGTTGATACATTTACCTTGGCATGCCATGGAGGCCTGGTCCAAAGGTGTAGATGGCAGAGGAAAAACTCGCCAGGATTTCAGTGGTCTCTGAATTGCAGATGGGATGGGGGAAAGTAGTGTTTGTAACTGCGAGCAGTCTCCTTGGGATGTGCGCTCTGAGGAAGCTCTGAAAACTTCTCGATCCCACTTCCTCCTAAGAGGGCAGACAGTGGTACTTTTCCATGTGTCGTCAGATTCAGAGCTCTTTCGAAGTTTGCCAGTGATTTTCTGTACTCGTAAGATGTTTTGTGCTGTAAGTGCAGAGGTTAGCTAGGGAGGTAAATGGTGTAAGAGAAGTGATTCCTTGGAGCTAGTAACTTCTGGGTCTCTGCTATGGTTGAAAATCCAAAGATGTTAATTGTAAAATCTGGGCATATAATATGTCAAAAATTGTATTTGTTGCCATTCCAAATTAGGTTTCTATCATCAGGTATAGTAAAAGCTGCAAATGCTTTCTCAATGGAGAACAGGGAAACGGGAGTCATAGTATCAGTTTTCCTGGCACTGCTTGGATTTCTGTCACAAGCACACAATATTTAACAAGGTTCATGGAGTATTATGTTCTCTTAATAGCTTATTTCCATATTAGAAGTATTTTAAACAAATCTGTCCCTAATGTGTTCTCTCTGTGCAGTACCGTATGGCTCAATCTTTTACTATCAGGAGCTAATAAAATGCTATTCAACAGAATAAGAAAACAAGATGATGGTGAAGATCTGCCCAGTGGGACAAGGGGAAGCTGAGGGGCAGAGGGAGCCAGTTACTGGTAACAGCCTGCTACTGGTAAACCTGCAGTCCTCATTCCCGTCCCGCAGTCCCTTGGTCTCTGGATGCCATCACCTCCCCCAGCAGCGAGGCTCTCCCAGTCGAAACAGTGCTGTAAACCCTCCCGCCCTGGAAGCTGCAGCCTTGATCCCGTAGCTCCAGCCCTCACGGCTCCCTTGGGGTGAGAAGAGGCAGTTTACTTTCCTCCTATCCTCTTTCTCCCTTTTGGAAAGTGCCCCAAAGCCTCTTCCAGGAGCAGGCAGTGTGGCTCAGCATACTCGGAGCGCTTGTGGTCCTCGCATTTCGGGTTAGCAGCTGACTGCCCATCTGTGCTGCAGAGCCGCGTCGCTCCCCCTTCCTGCTTCTGTGGCTGAACTGCGTTCCTCATCTGTCGCCCACCTGAGTGGAGGTAATGCTCACTCAGGGCATTAATAACACATGAACACCGCAAGCTTTTCCTTTCCTTTGAATGCACTCAGCCACCTGCAGCGCCTCTGAAACCACCTCTTTCCCACCGTGGGTTTATAATTCACTAGTACGTTTCACACACTCAGCAAAATGCAGCAACATTGTGGATGTTTTCTCCATCTGGGTTAATGTTGGGTATTTTTGTCCAGTTGGACTGAGTCCCCATGGACCCAGTTCATATTTGGAAGAAGATGCAGTTCCATGTCCTTTCAGGGCTTGGTGGCAAGCCAGGAAAGGGCAGTGAGTAGACTCTCTTAAAGTCAGTTAGATTTTTGCATTGGAGCCATTAGTGGATTATGAATTTGACAGATTTAGTAATTTGCTCAAAGTCAAGGCCAAGATGGGTCAACCAATTTCCTTACCTCATTTAGGATACGGTCCCAAGACCTGACTTCTAGTTGGTGAATTGGGTGTCCCTGATTAAAGCAGAAACTGAGACAATAGTTTCTGTTAACACAAGACTTACAGGCAAGCCAACTTGCAGGCTTGAAGCCTGCTGATAAAGCACCAAGGGGAAATGACTGATGCTTGAAATCAAAATTCAAAGCAAATTCAAAGCCATTGTTTCCAGCAATGATGTATGTTCCTGCATGTTTTGGGATCAGACAGCATCTGATGGAAATTCATGATGCTGTTTGCAGTGGCATGAATTATTTACAGTACACAGCCTGCCGGAACAGGCTGGCAGGGGCAGACTTTGTTTGCTGGCCTCGTGATTCCTGAGTGCTGGCCTCCCCCACCTTACGGATGGGCCAGAGAGGCAGCCCTTCACATCACATACTTGAGAGTCAGGTTTGGGGAGAGCACTGAGTCATCTACTGGGATGACCTGAAAGGGTGAAAGCACAGCTTTTAACCCACTTACTCCAGGTTAGGCAAACCTTCCAGATATATCTAGTTGTCTTCTCAAAAGACCTCAGCTGATAGGGAAGCCACTAGTTCCTTCTTCTAGTTCTGATGGGTAAACACACACACTCGTATACATTTGAGCCTTATTTCTAAATTGCATTTGTTTAGTTTTAATTTGTAGCTAATGGTTCTTGATGGCTTTCCTCTGCTAGACTAGAGAGGCCTTCAGAACCTACAGTTTCCTGTTCGCAAAGGTCTTTATACCCAGTAAACAGATTACCACTTAGTCTCCCTTTTGCCAAATTAAGCAGGAAGAACCCAGAAAGGTTGATTGTATAAGGCATTTTCCATAGTCCTTGAAAGTTCTGTCTGCTCTCTGCATCCTGTCTGGGTTTTCAGCGTCTCTTTCAAAAGTGGTTACCACAACTGTAGCAGCATTGGTCTCTCCAACACAGTGTAAAATAATTCCCCTCATCCTGCTCCCCTTGCGAGAATTGCCAGAACATCACAGAGAAACCTCATTCCTCTCCCCCGAACCCATAAATCTCAGCTCTCCAGAACTTCCAGAGTCTTCCTCCCTCTATGTGCAGACTGTGTTACTTCTTTTCCTTTTTTTTTTTTTGGTATCCTTTTTTGTTTTGTGACCTTGCATGACAGTGTTTAAAACCCATTGTGTTTGTATGGGCTTCACTTATGAAGTGATCCAGAAGAGTGTGGGACTGCCTGAGTTGTTGTTATTTATCATCCTGTCAACTGCAAATTTCATCATCATGGTTTTATATTTACTTGCAGTCTGTGGATGCAAACGCAGAATAGCTTTGGGCAAGGACCGATCCTACCAATCCCTCCAAAAATGCTGGTGTCCCCCACTGACCGGTCCCCCGAGTACCGATTAACCAGTGCAGCTCTTGTAGGGCAGGTTGTTCCGAGTAGTATCCCTTTAGGGAGAACTAATTAATAGTTAGAGTCATCATTTGGGGGATTTTTATAAGCAAGGAGAAAGCAAAGCCTATGAACTACTGTTGTCTGTAAAGAGAGGAGGGCAAAAAAAACCTATGTCTCTTCCTTAGATTTGGAAAAGGCCAGTCCGTTAAAATCAGAGTGAGCACAGCTCTGCTGCTCCCTCTCTAAATCCTGTGGGAACCTCTCTAATTCCATCCTGCAGCATTTACATATTTAATCTCCTTTTGCTGGAAGTTTTCAGACGCTTCTCTCAAATGCTTCTGCTTCAGGAGATCCTGCCCAAGTGTCACTGCCGCGGTGGAGCCTGACCTTTTCTGCGAGTGCTCGTCTCGCCGTTCTCCCAGGTGCTCCTGCTCGCGCTGCAGGGCGAGACGTGCTCTCCGACGCCTGCAGTATGAAGGCAAACTGCTGAGAGTACTTGCTTATTTCAGATGGCATCTTCTGGCTGTGACTGCATCCTGCTGTAAGCATTTGGTGGATGGAGCCTGTATGGGCTCCCTCAGAAGTCAATTACAGCTAAATCTAACAGATTTTCTTTGTATTAATGAAATCTCCTTTACTGGCCAGATTTGTAAGAAAAATAAATGAGGTCAGCCGAGCTCTGAGTTTCTCCCTGCCTGGAGATGGCAGCAGGATTCAGGTTCCAGTCACAAAATCTTTGCTGGAGTAAAAACCTAGCTGCTTTGGCACTGTCAGTATGAGCTGGCCAGGAGTGCTGGGAGGTGCTGGTGAGCTGAAGGCAATTGCAAGAAGAGATCACTTTCAGTAAATCTCATCCGAGGTTTGTCGGTGACCTATCCTCTTCTGTCCTCTTCCTCCGCTCCCTCGGCTACAAAAATCCTTTCCCTTCTTCTGTCAACCGTCATGCAGCCGCCCGGTCACACAGAGCGTGTAGTCATGCTCCGGGGCACCGTGAGCCCTGGGACGGCAGTGGGGAACTAGCCCAGCGGGGACTAACAAACGTTGCCCTTGTTCCTAGTCTGAGCAGCAGACTGCAGTGACTTCACTGCCCTGCGCACCCTGGTATCTGCCTGCGACAGGCCCCGAGCTCTCCTTCTGCCTTAGTCGCAGGCTCCCGTTTTGCCCTGTCGGCAGCCCATGGGTTGCTCTGATTTAAAAGCGAATTTTGTCCCAGGCTGTATGGCTGCAGAGGACTCGGCAGCATCCTCGGGATTTCCTTTCTGCGGTCATGGCTGAGGCAGCCCGTGGCGGGCTGTCTCGTGGGACTGTGGGAATTTGGAGGGCGACTTTCATACCTGCGCTGCAGCAGAGCTGGGAAACGGAGCGTTCTCCTCTGCATTAAATGCAAAGCTGCCCCCGACAGTTAGAGGCTCCTTCTAGCTAACACAACTAGAGACTCTGGGCTGAATAAACTGAGCAAACGCGTTTCCTAGTTGCCGAGTTGGGTGACTTTGCCGAAAGTCAAATCTTTTCCAAGTACCCTAACAGCACAAAAATCAGAAAGGGTGGTAATATTTCAGCAAGCTGACTGCCTCTGCCTGCTTCGCTCCGCTTGTAAGAGTTCGAACAAAATGACTAGATGGAGTTCAAAGAAAAATGCCCTCCTTCCCCTGCAATTTTTAGGACGCTTTGAATTCAGCACAAACACCAGGCCTTTTGAAGACTTTAGATTTCAGGGTTGTGCAGCAGGACACTCTGTCTGAAACCCCTGCTGAAGGAAATGAGCACAGCTGATGGTATCTGCAGGCACAAAAATAGCACAGTGCTTATTAGATT